GAACGAGCTGCTAAGGACACGTAAAACAGTTTTGCATCGACATGCAAATGGATAGTGACCACCACAAGAAGCTAAAGAAATCATCTACACATGAGAATGCAAAAATTACATGAGAATCTAAGCAAGAACGAAATCTACACGAGATTTACTTCAGCGAGTATCGCTGAAACTAGTCCAAAAAAGAACAAGCTCTCAGTGGTGATCTTTTTCTTACCTCCAGAAGAAGAAGAGGGAAAACCAAAATTACAGTCTTATATGCGGCTCTCTAAACCTATATACAGGAGCCGAATTCTAACCATAAATGTAAAGGATTATATAAGTAATTAACCGTTAATTAGTGGTTATAATTACGAATGCATACATGAACTTCAACAGAGAAAGCTACATGTGAGTGAAGCGGGAAGAAGCCGTAGGTACGTGGAGAGCCCTACGTAGCCGCATGCTCCTCCATGCAATCGCCACCGCAACGCGCGCTGACGGTGGCCGGCGATAGAACGGTGATGTAGCTTAGTTTGCGGTGGGACCCGCCGCCGCCCGGCCCCCCGACATTACTGAATACCGAGTCTGTGTTGAATGTAGTAAAAAAAAAAAAAAAAAAAAACGGTGACCGGCGCCGATTGCGCCTTTCTCGGCGACCTAAGCTAGTCACGTGTCTAATTAACTCCATGTGACGATGACGTGGCGCCCTAGCTTTGCCTCGTATATGAATGAACGATATGATAGAATATAATCTGGTGTAATTAATGTTTATATTTGTTAATTGGTTTGTTTGATCCATTTTGAGACTCATGTAGCATATTTGATCGAGTTTGTTGGGAGGGTATCGATTGTTAGTTATGTAATAGAGAGCACCTTTTGACGAAGTATATTGAATTCGTTGTGAAGGAATAATACGTAGTGTAGTTTGGTCGAAACGTTTCTTTTAGGTTACAAACATGCTAATTGCTAGCTAGCTCCTCCTGAAACTGAGTATATGCTTATTGGGTTTGTAGATATGCAAAACTGATAAGATGGTCATAATAAAGTGTACCATGTGTTTTTTTTTTATCGTATTGTAAAAAAAATTGATTTATCTTAATAATTTGAAAATTTAGGTTGACCAAATGTATCTTATATCATTCATATTCACTACACCAAAACTTATTTCAAGAAATTATATGCCATCTTGGCCTCTTGTAAACATTGCTTTGTGTGGAATTTGTCCATCAATGCAAACTAATTGTTTGTATAGAGTCCCAGCTTGGTCTACCGGTTTTCTTCGGGTAGCGAAACTAGAATTTAGAGCGCGAGATAATAAGATAAAAAATAATGTAGCTTCTTGATATTGAAATTAGATCTTATAAGACTAAAAGGGCATAGATGGCCTACCACCATCCAACTTCAAATATTAAGAGGAGCTACAACCCAAATTAAAGATATTATGTTGATGAATGGCAAGTTAAAATATTATATATCTACTTTTCTTCTTGGAAGTTGTTTGTTTAAAGCTGTTATGGGCTGTAAGATGAGAAGACCAATATTGCAATCCTGCTAACAAATACACAGTAGAAGTTTGGGTATGGTCCTTGTACTTTATTTCCCAATTAATTTTAGTACCCACTTATAACAAAGAATGGGACACAAAAGAATATTTATTTATGAGAGACAATTTTTAGGGAGTTGGTGCTATATGTTTCATGAACTCACTCAGACTGAGATATATATACTCCATAACATATAGGATTTTTTTTTGTGTGTGTGTATAAATGATTGGTTTTAGCAAATCCAAGAAAACCCTAAAAATTGGGGAGAAATTATTTGATCAAGCTGAGTTCCACTACACTTACAACTACATCTTTTCTGCTATAAAGACAATTTTATTCTCCCTTTTTTTGGTCCTTTTTCCCACCTCTCCTTACTGCTTGGCATGTGGTATTTTGTCTGAAATTCTTTTTTCCCCACATTAATATACACTTTTTACCCTTTTCATTTTGGTCCTCCAGAATATGAGTTGCAAAGAACATGGGGGCCCTTGTTTCCTGAGCATTTGAAGCCCATTCATTAGACAATAATTAGTGGCTTTGGTTGTAACCAGCCAGACGAGATTAAGTCACTAAACACAAAAGTGTAAGCAATTCCGTACGTAATCTCACAGTAATTAGTATGGAGAGTACCTGGAATTGCATTGCTAATGCTAATCACAGAGTCTGACGAGAATCTCTCAGGCCAAAAAGAGATTATGATTATTGTATGATGGAGTAAGTGCATGAACTGAGAAGGTGTCTTTTTTTTGTTTTTTTTTTGTTTTGTTTAATGTGTTCTGTTGTTTGTAGGGTTACTTGTCGACCGCTCATTAACGTATACGTTGGGGGGAATAGTTGACACGTTAGAGGAAAAGCAATGGGGAAAAGGCAGAAAAGGGATGTGGGTTAGGGTTTAATATGTTTTTTTGTTCATATTTGAAGGTATGAAGATGAACATGCAAAAGGAAAAGAAAAGATCGGCATGGGTCGTTACCATCTCAGGTTGTACTTGATTAGTTGATTGAAGAAAGTTTGAATGGGATTTGATCACATTGTTGAAGATGGCTGGATGATGGGTTGTTGTTAAGATTCATGGATGGATGATGGATGGTTTGGTTATTTAATTTGTTCGAAGTATTGTGAGACTTTTTTTTTTAGTTCAAAATATATATTTACTTGCCCGTGGATGGTGTTTGAGACTTGGGTTATAAGTATAAGTGAATAAGTTGTGATTTCGGTACGATTTTATGATCTTATATGTTTGTTGAATACCTCTTATCTGTATTCATTGTGTATAATTTAGTAATACGTTTACATAGAAGAAATATAAGAGGATGATTTGCCTTCATATGGGATGATTCTACTATTCAAGTCGATAGATGATTTACCATACACTTGAATAGACTAATCAAGTCTAAAATTACGCCAAAAGGTAAAAGACTCTGTGTAGATGTTCACTTGAATGTTGTGGGTTTTCTTACCATTTACGTGGACTTACATTACCTAACCCGAAAAGTTTGAATCCGTAGGTCTCGATCAATAACATTTTCCAGTAATCTGAATCTCGTTTCAATTAATGGATTTTGTAATGTGATCTCTTCTTTCATTAACTCAATCAAGACTATGGATCGATGTAGTTTACTTAACACCATTCCTTAGGCAAAAATGGGGGTTTCTCTCAAAAGGAAAACTTCATTCTCAGTACATCTGGGTTCTTCGACCTTTGATCATTCATAATTGCAAGTTGTTATATTTAGTGGATCTTTTTGCAAGCTTATTAAGTTTGCAGCAGGCATGATTGAGGAGGCTAGAAAGGTAATTGTGTCAACTGTGTGAAGAAGCAGCACTTTCAGTTTAGTGGGCTGTTGTTTCTTAGTAGTTTATATTATATCTCCATAGATATTTCTTCATTTCAATGTCTTCCATTAATCTTCAAGGCATGGAGACGACCATATTATATTTATTTACATTACAATCAATCTTCATTTCTGAATAAGTAAATAAAAAAGATTTTGAAGTGTCAGTGTCTTCGAAACTTCATGTTAATTGGCTTTCAATATTGGGGTTGGACAGATCTTTGGCCATATATTTGGGGAGTTAATTAATGGTTTTGATCTACCCACTACGTACTAGGTGTGTTCTTTTCAAGAGTTCCATATAAAATATTCTTCTTCAAAAGAGCGAAAATGAATTCTTTGACGTTCATATAGTTGTATCGAATTAATGTACGTATCTAGTCTATATTATAGAAGAATTGAGAATGAAACGAAAATAATACCAAAACACGAGATCATATACGAAGACTTGTTCTTCAACTATGCAAGGACTTACTTGTAGCACCTTAGATGAATCTCACTTCGACAAAGCATGGTAGATATCTATGATTAATAAGTAAGAATCCGTCATAAACCGACAAGACGCATTTTGAGGCGAAATGGAGGGGTTATCGTAAGAACTTTGAAGTTAAACGTGCTTACTGTGCAACAATGGGTTGCTTCCCGGAAGTCACATTGATATGCACTAAAAATCGTGCTGATCTATGTAAGGAAGTGGTTAAGTACCATACACGGGCATCTATCCCAACAACTCAAGTTATTGGGACCAATTGATATATGACATGGTATCAGAGCTGGTTTGTCCCTTGAGGTCACGTGTTCAAGTACTCACGACCCTCAACATTAACCATTGCCTTTAAGCACATGGTATGACGGGTCTGTACAAACTTCAAGTCCATGAGTTGGATTTCGCTTGAGAGAACGTGTAAGGAAGTGATTAAATACCATACATGAGCCTCTCCCAACCACTCGAATTATTGATACCAGTTGGTTTCTGACAATCTAAATCCCCAACAATATCTTGATACAAAAACTTGTTCCATTACTCTTTCTTAGATTGATCCCTTACCAACTCGTTGGTATAATTGGTTGTAGAGAAGCATTACATACTAGCTAGATTGAGGTGGAGTAGCTTAGCTTATGGGTTGCATCTACCCGGCCCAATAGAAACCCAACGACAGGTGCATGCCATCTAATGACTGGGCCGAAACCCCTAGCCCATGAGCCCGTACCAATACTTTATACCTCGCCATTTCTCTGCAGCCCATGACATCGATCATCCCACCACATCAATCAGACTTGAAGTCCTTTGTAAAATCGACATTGTTACTTCAGATATTAGATAATGCTTTCAGAAAAGCTATATTGATATATTACATCTGACCATTTGATTCAAACAAGTAAAAACCCTGCACTGTCGTTCGTGGTACCTCAATGCATATGAGGGTGTGACGCGGTGCGGCTTTCTCTAATCGTAAAATGAAGGTGTAGTTTCCAGAGTCAGCTCACTATGCACCCAAACCATTTACCAATTCGAGTGCACAAATATGATGGATGATCCATCAAAGTTCGAATACCACATTCTAGAGCCAGCCATTTTATCAATTTGTGTTAACAAACACGATCAATTGTCCGCAAGGTTCGAATAATACCACATTGTTTAGCCAAGTAGTAACAAGTTCCATTTCTGCCACATCAATGTAGAGCTAGTCATTTACCAATTTATGCGATCAGCAGCAATGGTTTCGACACTGTACAGCAGCCTCGGGTACTCGCTGTTATATATACCAAAATAAAAGTTGTAGTGTTGAACTTCAGATACATCAATAATTATACACTTATATCATCTGGTTGATTCAACCAAGGATAGAACACTTAGATAACAAGGAAACAGTCGGTTCCTGAAGTGAAAAATACACAAGAAAGTTGGGACACAGTTTTGAATGTTCCAACATCAAATCATCCATTCCATACATTAGAAGAAGAAGAAGAAAAAAAAATTAAACGACATAAACTTTCTGGGTGTCGTTCTTTTGTTAGGCTTCTGGGGCGAGAGAAATGTTATTGGGCCAGTTTAAGCCCATTTAGTTTCGAAGAGCATATCACCATTCACGACTGGACATTAATACATAGCAACTGACAGAGAGGGGGAGAGACAAAAGGCAAACATCCAAATGAGAAAGAAGATGACCCCCTCACTCGCAAAGCCAAACCCTTCCACCACTGATCACACACCCTTTCCTTCTTCCCCCAGTTCTAGCCCATGGCATACTTCTGGGTCCAGCTTCTAGCAGTCGTCTCGTACTTGTTCTTGTCGGTTTTGTACATGTGAGCGATCTCGGGCACCAACGGATCGTCGGGGTTGGGGTCCGTCAACAACGAACAGATGGAAAGCAATACCTGCATACCATAATTATTAACGTTTCAGATCGGTCACCTTTTAAGGCGATGATCCGTAGGGTTCAACCACACATTGTTCACTTGGGTATGCTTAAGCTGTGTTCGTGTAAGAGAAGTATCCCAAACCAATCATAGCGCTTGGAGCAAGTACAGATTGAGCAAATACCTTGGATATGGTTAGAGCAGGGCTCCACTGTTCTTTCAAGATATCGAGACAGATGCTCCCGTTGCTATTGATATTAGGATGGAACACTTTAGTTCTGAATGCCACCTGCAAACGCGTTCTCGAGTTAATACGATGAGTCACACTAAATCTATAGGGTTCTCAAGAAGTACAAGGTTGTCAGATTGTATAAAAGAGAGATGATGTCAAATGTACCAAGGTTTTCAAGATGTTAAAAGAAATTGGCAATTGCATAAAAAACATTACACATCCCTCCTTTTATGAGGAGCAGAGGGGGAAGGAAAAGTAAAACAGTAGATGCAGGAAAGGAGCACAACTTTATACACTGGTAAACCATGTGCAGGAAGCACTATTCCATGTATTACAACATGCATGCCATGTGTAATTGATTTCGGTTACAAGAAGCTGCAGATGAAACCAAACAACAATGGACATATAGCCTAGACAGCTCAATGGATACCTTGGGAGGCTTAAATGGATAGTCTGGAGGGAAATGAATGGTGACCAGGAAAACACCACCGGAATAAGGGCTGTCTGGAGGACCCATAATTGTCGCTTGCCAATGAAACATGTCCTCAGCAACAGGGCCTGTAGCATTCCAAACAAAAGTCAGATAAGTACAGGATGAGATCATAAAGTACAGGATGAGATCATCAATTCATATTTCAAATTAGACATTAGAGTAACTCTAAACATCATGTTGTTGCAAGGAATTCCAAAAATCAATCAGGCATCTTGTTGATTTGTATAGGATGCATGGACATTCCGTGTACCGTATGATCTGATAAAACATAAACTTTGAGATACAGGGAACCAGACATCCCTAAGAAGTTACAACTGCAGAACCCCACAATTGGGTATAACTGGATAATGAGCTGCCAACTACACAGACATGAACACAAAACCTATTTACGGTCCAAGCCTATCGTGCACGCTACAGTTGCATATCGTTAATGCCACTTCGCTATAAATATCACAAATAAGCTCTTGCGCATTCTTACGAAGCAAAAACGAACAAGACACAACTTAGCATATTTTCCCGAAACAAGAACCATGGTAGAGCCAAACTGTTGACTCTCCTACCCCAACTTGAATTTACATTCATTGGTTATCGACTTCCTTGCCGTAGCTCTCGATTCCAGTTTTTTTCACACAGCAATCAGAACAGGTTAATAGCCTAATTCCTAATCTATATCAAACCCTAGCAACACATGTCATCGCCTAATCACCAAGAACAAGCTCATACCCCGTCCTTCAGGACACAACAGTATAATTCCATTTCCAAAAACCTAAAGCCAAATTCCTCGCCGTCGTCATATATACAATAATGCCTAAATCATCAATCAATCAATCTATACAATCATGACACCGACCGACGGCTGAAATTCTCCAGCTGGACCGGCTAATACGGCGGAGGAAATTCTATTACCCGTGACAAATTTCTAAACAGGAAGCAAAAATAAAGTCAAACCGAGCTGCAAATTTTTTTCTGCCGATCGAAACACGGGGAAGAAAATAATTACCAGCGCTGCATGAGGTAGGAGGATCCTTCTGTAGATCCTTGAGTTCCTTCAAGATACGCTTGGACGCCATCGCCGAAAACCTAAGCTCCCACAGAGAACGCAACAAAATCGATCAGATCTCGTTAAGAAACCACAAATCGAGACCGGAGATCGTGAGGGGGGAGAGAAATACCAGAGAGCAAACGAGCTTCGAGATCAGATCCTCTCCTTCTTTTCTGAAACCAGGCGGCGTTCGGGGGAGATGGAGCGAGGGATTGAAGAGGAAGAAGAAGAAGAAGAAGAAGAAAGGGAAAGTTTTTTTTTTTTTTTGACAATATGAGAAGAAAGGGAAAGTTGGAAAGAGGTATTTGGGAATTCGGTAAGGTTATGGCTTTTTATTAAATTAATATTTAAAATATGATAAATAAAAAAAATGGGGCTAAAGGAAAAATTGTGAATTGGCTGGATGGCAGGAGGCGAGCTTCGGGTTCCAGAATCCAGACCCTCCTGATTGGGTTATATATATTCCCACTCTTGCGTGGTGGGACCCAGTCTAAGCGTTTTCTCTACGTCAAATACGATTTTCCACCGAAAGTGCCCGCCGAATAATTTCCTCCCTCGTCTATTTTCTTCTAGGTTTTTCAATCGGGGTTCGTGAAATCGTATCGTATCACCAGCGGTTTCGTCTAGAGGTCTACGGAGGTCGATCCGTTCATAATGGATCAAACTCTTGAAGAATCATGATCCAATATTGAAAGACATTTTAAAACTAAAAATCATACTAACAATGCATTTGATCTGTTTTGATCCGGTTCGAATATCAATTCAGTTTATTTTTCTTCAGTATTGATAAAATTTAATGGAGCAGCTGACTCGACCATATTATAATCGATCGTGTGATCCCGGTGTAATATCATACTGACCAACCCATTGCGAAAAAAATCTCTAATCGCAATTATTCATTTAATCATTTTTAATTGCTTCTAATTTCATTTCTAATGAGTAAAAAAACTAAAAAATAAAATTGACCACCAGCCCACCAGGCTGGCCGCGGAAATAGCGAGAGCCAGTGACCATTTTCCCGAGTATTGACCCAAACGCACATGCTGGCTGACGGACCGCGTACCAAACGCGCCATTACAGCTTAGCCATCGCAATCGCCACCGCCAAGAATCCCGGCGGGCGTTCCTCGACTGACTTCCTCCTCCCCCACTACAATCCAGCTCGGCTTCCTCCCGGCTCTCGACCTGATTCACTCGCTGTCGCTCGTGGACTTCATCGGCCGCGATGAGCAGATTCACCAGGCGAGTCCAAATCGACGACCCTAAGCACGACGACGACGACGAGAGGAATGGCCAGAACGGAGGCGGCGAGGAGGAAGGAAGCGCGGCGAAGCTGAGATCGACGAGCAGCAACGTGAGCGACGACCAGGAGCCGTTCATGGGGGTCAAGGTTCGACGGAAAGCGTCGCTCCACAGGGAAGTTAAAGGAGATTACATCGACGTGCCCTCGCATCCTCGCCTGATGAAGATCTTGCAGAAACAAGGTTAGGTTTCCGTATACACTCGATTGCGCTCCTTTGTTGATTTAGCTGATATGGCCATTTTATATCTCGTTTCGGATTGCATATCTAAGTTGGTTTGATTGAATGCTAGATAGATTAGGGTAATGGTAATGGAGTTCGAAATGATTAATTCAAACAATTGGTTGGCTCTCCTGCAATTGCAATTCAAGCTTTGATTCAAGACCTGTGATTCAGAACAACAGGAATTTTAATTTTGTGTGGTATATCCTAGCCTCAATCATGTTTCATTGTGCTCTTTCCAGGAGATAAGCACATACTATTTGCAGACAAAGTTTTGAAATTCACTGCCTCAGGGAAGATGAAGAGGCGGATGCTGTTGGTAACGGATTTCGCCATTTACATTCTCGATCCGGAGAACGATGCCCTGAAGAGGCGGATTGCATTGGCTGCAGTGGAGAAGCTGTGTTTGAGTGAGCTGAGTGATAACTTCTTAGCGATCATTATCCCAACGGAGTATGATCTACTAATGGCCAGTACCAGGAAGACGGAAATTGTTACTGTTTTAGTTGAACATACCAAGAGCTCTTCAAACTATGAGCTAGATGTGGAGTTCTCCAATAGGTAAGAGCCAATCCCTCTCATGTGATGCTATGCTAGCAAGTTAAGGTTTTGCTTTCTGGGTCTGGCTTTTAGTTGCTCAATAGGTGCTTTAGCTGTGCCATCTTCTTCTACTATGCTTCCTAGTTGTTTTACCTCATAGCTTTGACAATATGGTTGTCTACCTTGATTCAAGACTTATGAAAAGGCTTGTTTGTAGACAACTATCCTTTGTATTTTAGGAAATATTTCCATGTGAATACCTCTAAGTATATTGATATATTCTATGATTCAGCATCGAGTATCAGGCAGCTGCTGATTTGACAAAGGAAGTTCAGTTTGAGGAAGTTGAGGGTATGTTATACTATTTTATAACTATTTCTTTCCGAATCATGATGGATGCAGCCTAGTTCGAAGATGCCAATGTTCTAGCTTACTCAATCTTCTGCTCTCCTGATCCCTATCATTTCCCCCTCTCTATGCTCGTCTGTTTGTTTCTCCAGGTGGTGTCAGAACAAGGATCCTGAGGAAATGAGATTGCAAACAGTTCATGGTCTCTCAACCCTTCATAACTATAGACCACCTCAGGGAATCGCTCGGATCAGATCAATGTAAAAGGCAAGATTTTGTAATTGTTCAGAATGTCTATGCCAACCAAGTGAGAATAGTTTTACCGTTATTGGTTGTTTTGCTGCATATATATACATTATACATCTGATTGTTTGTACTACTGTAACTATGGGAATTGGATTGCATTCCTTCTGTTTTTCCTATTGATTTTGCATGTCCACGAGAACCAAGTGCCTGTATATCTTAGCGGCATGTACTATGTGAGAAGAGTGATAATAATTTCCAGAATTTGCCCTAGCTGGTATCAACTCTTGAAAGGCTCAAGTCACTGAAACTGTCTGATCTCCTCCAAGTGTTATTCATGTAGATTTCGACTATCACGTCAGTTACGTTTTAGCGCGCTATTTTGACTTATCATGATAAATCGTCAACATCTCTTTCTCGTCAATATATCGCATTTTGGTTTAAGTTTAACATGACATGTGAACTCACTCAACAAACTAGCAGAAATGCACTGAAATGGACTTTGTTTGAATCAGAACTAATCCATTAGTTTTATACATCTGAAGAAAATCTCACATTACTCGGTCTAGACTACGATTTTGGTGTCTAATCCCAGCAGCCAAAATCCTTCCCCACACAATGAATACCAAAACACAGATTGTTGAACGCCTACTGGATAGCTGAAGAGCTACTACCAACACGATCCGACCCCGGCGGGGTCGGAGTCGACATGGCGACCTCCACGCCGGAATCCGACCCGAATCCCCGACCTTCTCCGGGACTAACACTAACACTACCTCCTGCACGTCGGATCCCTTCCACCATCTTCACCACGTCGACCATCTTCGGCCTCTGCTCGGGCATTCTCACCACGCAGTTCATCCCAATCTGCAGCATCTCCACCATCTCTTCCTCTATGTTAGGGTACCTCAGAAGCTCCACGTCGAACACCTCGGCGGTCCACTCCTCCCTCACCACGGAGTTCACCCATCTCACCAAGTGAACGACTTCCTCGCCCCCACTCCCCCCTCCAGAGGACGAATTGGTTGGCGATTTCCCGGTGAGGAGCTCGAGGAGGAGGACGCCGAAGCTGTAGACGTCGGCTGCAGGGGTCGCCTTGCGTGGGTCGGTTACTTCAGGGGCACGGTACCCTGAGGATGCTGATCTGTTTGGTGCTGGTGCAGGGGTTGGAGTGATCAGCGTGGCGAGCCCGACGTCGTTGATGCTGCCGTAGTTGTCTGAGTTTAGGAAGACGTTTGAGGCCTTTATGTTGCCGTGGACGAGCTGTTTCGCCGCGGATTGGCGTGTGCTGTGGATGTAGAAAATTCCCCTTGCTGCTCCTATGGCGATCCTCATTCTGGTTTCCCAGTCTAATGCTGTCCTGCCTTCCCCTCTTCTGCCTGCAAAACACACACATTGTTTCGTTAAAGGCCTAGAAGTGATAGTCGGGTGGGTTAGCGGTTAATCGTTAGTCGATAATGCGGTTAACCGTTATAAAATCGTAACAAACAAAGTGATTAGAGTTTCCAGAATCACATACCGTGCAACAGAACAGAGACACTTCCCCTGTCGTAGAAATCATACACCATCAGCTTCTCATCCTTGGAGTAGTAATAAGCTCTCAAGGGACACACATTCTCATGCTTAATCCCACCAACGACTTCCATCTGCCCTTCGAACTCCTTCTTCCCGACGCCGACTTCTTTCAACCTCTTCACCACCACGGTCGTCGTCGCGTCCTCCAACGCAGCCTTGTAAGTCGTCCCGTAGCTCCCCTTCCCGAGAACCTCCGCCGACGCCCTCAACAAGTCCTCCAAGTCGAACGCGAGGCGACACCCTTCGAAGAACACCAACTTGTTGCTCTTACCATCACCACCACCAATATCCTTCTTCTTCTTCTTCTTCAGCCTCAGAGCAGGCTCGCCTTTCTCCTTCGACTTGGTCGCGACTGTGACCGTTTTGGTAGTAGGCAATCCGCCATCGTTCTTCCCACGAGAGTAGCTGCATATCATTAACAGCGCAATCGCGGCAAATGACACAACACAGCCGCCCAGCACGATCCCGAGTATGGCAGGCTCGGTCAGCTTCCCTCGTGGTTTCCTCGCCGGCTGAGGAATTGGGGTTTCGGCAGAGGTGGCAGGTGGGATTGCAATTTGTGAGGACAGCTCGTTGCCGGAGAATGCGGAGCTCGGGTACCTCATGAGCGAATTGGGGAGAATGCCAGTGAGGTGATTGTTCGTGAGGTTGATCTGCTGCAGGCTGGGGATGTTGATGTCCGGGATTTCGCCCGTGAGCGAGTTGTTGGAGAGGTTCAGAGACGTCAGGTGGTTCAGGCTCGAAATGGAAGGCGGAATGCTGCCGTTGAATCGGTTTCCTGAGAGGTCCAGAACGGTTAAACTGTTCCATACCGAGAAATCAGAAGGCAACGAGCCGGTGAACTTGTTGGACTGGAGGTACAGGGAAGTTAAATTCCTCAGGTTGGAGAAATCCTGAGGGAAATCGCCTGAGATCCCGTTGGATCTCAGGCTGAGGATCTGGAGCGACGAGAGGCGGCTCAGCGTGTTGGAAGGGATCGATCCGCGGAGCCCCATACCGGGCAATCGGAGTGCTACGACTCGAGTGTTGTCGCTGTTGCAGGTGACCCCTGTCCAGAGGAAGCAGACTGGGAAGTTTGTGTCCCAATTTAGGGAGCGGGAGTGGTGAATGTTTCTTATGAAGTCCAGTAATGCTTCTTTGTCCTCGTATGGCTCGGATTTGGTAAATGGGAGAGAGATCGAAGCAATGATCAGAATTGCAGAGAGAGTGAATGTGATCATCTTCATTTCCACCATAGCTTTCTCTTGTTGCTCGCAAAACTTGGTCGGTGACTCATATCTGTGCAAGAAACCAGTGGGAAAAAGGGTAGTATTTACTATTTAGTAATGGAGTTTATGACTGTAATGAATAGGATGAACAGACGTTACTTTGTTGAACCCATAATAGACTAATATACTAGTTAGCTGTTATCCTATTGCCGTTCAAGTCAAACATCAACAGCTAACACAGAACGAAAACATTCATGCCGGTTTATAGCTAGCTAATTAGTTGACTTTTTGATACCAGGAAGGAATCACCTAACTTCTGTTTGGCTGCTGAGAAAAAGAAAAGGGCAAGAAAATTGCAGAGAAAAGATTGAAACTTTCTACTGATATACATTAATTGGATGCTGGGAATAATTCTTGGATCCCCAAGAAAACACCTGTCTATTGTTGTTCACCTAAAAGGGTTTCCTGTTAGAGAGTGAACAGAGAGAACAAACAGAGAAGAGAAACACAGAGAAAAGACTTACCAGGGGAATGCAGAGGATCTCCATCTCTGCTTTCTCAGTCCACAAATCCAATCTTCAGTGAATCCATTTTCTCAGCCCTCTTGAACCCAGAAAAGGAACAGTGATGTGGAAAGATGGGAAGTTAGTTGACACTTGATGAATGGTGGGAAATTATATGAATTGGGTAATGATGAATCGCGAGAATGAGCTGTATTCGCTTGGAAGAGAAGCATCACATGGAAAGAAGAAGAAGAAGAAGCTGCGGAAACCCAAGTGAGATAAAAACAGTAAAGTAATCCACCATATGATTAGCTTAGGATTAGAAAGCTTAATCTAATCAGCCATCCAGGGTTTCTGTGTTCCCTCTCTTGAGATTTGACCCAAATGAACGAGACCTGGTTTTATTATATAGCGCAGGATAAGGAAATAGCATGTGAATGAAGAAAGGAAGGAAATCAGCTGACTTGCTCTGCTTCTTTCTTGTTCTGCGGGACTATTATATGGGGGCCATCATCTCTGATCAACTTGGTTTTGTTGCTGCCGCCATTGATGCGTGTTTGAAGAAGGAACAGAGTCTCTGCTACTTGCTTGCTTGCTGCCTTCGTGTTTTCTTTATTGCATTTTCTTTCTTGCTTCTGGTGACAGAGGATGGAGGAGTAATGGCGGGGACGGTGAGAAGTTTGCATCACTTGAAGCAGGTTACCATCTTTTCCATTATTATAATCGGTTGTAAGGTGAAGTGAGATACAGAACAGATTTGGCAAAACAACAAAAATAGAATTGAAGATGGGAGAATTGACTGTTTGAATGTTGATGCTGAATCTTTCTCCCAGATGATAAACTCTGTAAATTGTCCTGTTGTCTACTAGATTTTGGAGATGGGATTAGTTACTGGAAATTTAATGAAGATAGAACCATCATTAGAGTTGGGGTAATGGATATATTCTATACGGGTTTTATGAGATCGCGGTATAGGAAGGTAATTTTACAGATAAATTTTTGCGGCGGTTTAACTTTCGACACCACTTATACTCATGTTATATCTATGTTATTCTTTCCACAGAAATGTAAGTGTCGCCTGTGTTTTCGAGAGAGAAATGATGTTGTTGATTTCTTTATTTATTAAGATCGCATGACATCTTTAAAATTACTTGTTATTCGTGTTCTCCGTACTTTTTGTCTATCTTGTTACCTAATGTATGATGTGTTTTGTTGAGACTTGAAGTACAGGGTAAACAAAGCAACTAAGATGGAGTTTGTGGTTGGGGCGCAGTGGCGGATACATGTACATTTAGGGGTGTCCCGGGACACCTCTAAAATTTGGAAGAACGATTATCCAACCCCCGGCTGTAGTTTCTTATGAAAAAAATTATAATTGGTCATCCGGGACACCCTTAAATTTGAAAAAAATGATTATACTACTCTCGATAGTAGTTTATGTAAGATTAAAAAATTATAAATAGTAGTTTGTGTTATTCAAACTTAAGACACTACTATTATTAAACATATTCTTTAAGTTGCAACTCATTTCTTGATCTATTTAAACACTAAGAAATAGTAAAAACATTATTGCTTATCCCCAACTATTTTCAAAACCTAACAACTAAACTAATTGTGGGTTATCCTTAATTTAATTGATTTTATAGTTACACAGCAAGAGTTAAAAGAGTCTTTCAACTTTGAGTTACATAAAGAACAAGGTTAGAATTCGAATATGAGATCAGTTCGTATATTATTGTCTAGTATGATATATAGATTTGTTGAGCAGTGAAGACGTCGAGTATATTTTATATTCTTTTTCAGAATATGAAAACACGTCGTGGCCTTTTGTTAAAATTTGTACTAGTCATGTATTTTCTTATTTATGAATTATTTTTTTATTTTTTTATTTTTTTAAAGAGGATACCCCTATAAAAAATTTCTGGATCCGCCACTCGTTGGGGGTCCAATGTTCCATATAAATGAGAGTACTTGTTGTGTCGCCGGCCGCCGCTCCGGCAGGCCGGCGGGAGCCAAAGCCAATGAATGGGGTGGCGGTTATGTGGGCGGTTGGCGTGACAGAATAATGGCTACCACGTGCTAACTTATTGCATCCCTAAAATCAAAGTACAAAGAGCCTTTCTCCTCTCTTAAATATCACTCAACTAACTATATGCTTGTTACTTGTCAGGAGGTGACTGTGAAACTGTGTTAGAAAGTGTCGGTTTGATTGTGTGTGGTGAGATGTTGTGTTAATCCTCGAGTTATTCCCACTTGATCCAGATAACCATCTATTCGATTTTGTTAACCAAACCACAGATGGAGTAAATTTCGGAAAATCAAAATCATCAAGGACTCGTAATCGGTTTTTGATTAACCAATATCTCGATAAAGCGATTAACGATTTTGGTTACCAAACCATTAATTTGAAAAGTACAAAAACGTAGTTAGAAAAGATAATAAAGAGAGCATGTATATATGAAAAGAAGTATATTACACACAAGTTCATGACAACACGTGTTGTCGATGGATATTGACTTAGTTAGGGTGCTGTCGGTTTCTTATTGATTTTTTTTTTTTGCTTTTAATCGAAACCAAAATCATTAAGACGTCAAACGGTTCGACAAGAATGCCCCAGGCCATGTACTCTCTTGTTTTGTTGGAGGTTTAAAGTCCACTGAACATATGCTACCTATTGCAGCCTTTTCAAATGAGAGTAGATCTTTACCTCTTAACTAGTAGAGACAGCAGGGAAGTGTGTAATGTGTTCTATCATATTTGTTTATGTTTCATGAATCATGATGCTGTCATTATGGTTATAAACACTATTTTCCTATGAACGTCACTGGTTTTTCTATAATAATATTTGTAACAAGTTGCAGGGAGTAGGATTATGGTCAACTTCCTATGAGACTATGACATTTAAAATTTATCAGTAGATTCGAACCAACTGTTAATAAAACGCTGCGAGACTTATATCAACAGAATCAGAGTGGCGCAGCGGAAGCGTGGTGGGCCCATAACCCACAGGTCCCTGGATCGAAACCAGGTTCTGATAAGTTTTTGGGCCTTTTTTTGGGCTTTCGGCTCTCTATCTCCGTCTCCACGTGGCGTTGTTTGGGCTAGCATCTTTTCCGCGATATATCGTCAAAAGAAATATGAAAAGGAAAAAAGGGGAGGAAAACGCCAAAAAAACGAGGAAGAACCCAGAGAAAGGAGAGAGAAAGTCTGAAACCCTAACCCCTCAAAATATCGCGATAAGTAAAAAAGGTCGAGAAGATTTCAACTCTGCAACCTCCCTCCGATTATCTCTCCGTCGAGAAGATCTTTCTCACAGCTCTCTCCCCTTTCCCCAGTAAGTTCGCTTCAAATTTCCCGCTCTTTTGCTCCTGCTCTCATTTTCTGTTTGCCTACCGAGAAAACAAAATCGAACTGCGAAAATGCTCGATTCAATCCCCCTTTCCCCCTCACTGCTAAGCTAGGACATCGCTAATGCTCCCGATTAGCTCAGTTAGCTAATTAAGCTTGCAGAATTTCGACTGAATGAAGCAATTGCAGATTCGAATGTTCTTTTGCGATGATGAAAACTCGAATTCTCTTTTAATAGCAGTTGCTGCTGCTTCGTTGATTGAGACGATTTGTTTGATTTCTTCGTATTTGCTCTTCTGTTTTTTGTAGGGTTTGAGGCGGAGAGGGGGCAATAACAATTAACAATCTTCAGAAGCAGTAAGTTAGCTCTCGGCTCGTTAGCTTTGTAATGGCTGTTGTTTGAGTCTTTCCTTCTGGTTTCATAATCTGGAAATTGGAACAATGTAGTGGTTCGGGAAAAGGACACTTGCTGGGAATACGCAGAGAAGCTAGAAGGGAACAAGGTGAAATGCAAGTTCTGCCTCAGAATCCTCAACGGCGGGATCAGCAGGTTGAAGCACCATCTCTCTCGGATTCCGAGCAAAGGCGTGAACCCGTGTAGCAAAGTGAGGGATGATGTTACGGACAGGGTAAGAGCTTTACTTGCATCCAGAGATGCTAGCAACAGCGAGATGGAAGAATCTCCAACCACCAGCGCCAAAAGGAAGAAGCAGCAGCAGCAGAGGCCCGCAGAAGTTGTTATCCAATCCATTGGGGATGGTACAACTGCTTGTAGAAGCATGACATCAATGGAGATAGTGCCTCATGTGACCACGAAAGTCTACCCGACTGCAGTAGTTTCTGTCCCAGCTGCACCTTTGACGAACGAAGAGAGCGCGGAGAGGAGCATTGCGATGTTCTTCTTTGAGAACAAGTTGGATTTTGGGTTTGCCAGGTCGCCGTCGTACTACCAGATGATCGAGGCGATAGGGAAATGTGGACCGGGGTTCACAGGGCCCTCGGCAGAGGAGTTGAAGGCTACGTGGTTGGGGAGGATAAAGTCGGAAGTGAGCTTGGAATCGAAAGACGCAGAGAAGGAATGGGCTACTACTGGCTGCACAGTAGTTGCTGATACATGGACTGACAACAAGTCTCGAGCTTTGATCAACTTCTTGGTTTCTTCACCCTCGAGAACTTTCTTTCTCAGGTCAGTGGATGCGTCTTCCTACTTCAAGAACACGAAATTTCTGGCTGATTTGTTTGATTCCGTGATTCAAGATCTTGGTCCGGAGAATGTGGTGCAAGTAATCTTGGATAGCAGTTTTAACTATACCGGTATAGCTACCCATCTGCAGCAAAGCTATGCAACGCTTTTTGTGTCACCCTGTGCTTCTCAGTGCTTGAATTTGATCTTGGAGGAGTTCTCTAGGGTAGATTGGGTACGAGAGTGCACTTTGCAGGCACAAAGCATATCAAAGTTCATATATAATGATGCTTCGATGCTTGAACTGATGAAGAGGTTTAATGGAGGGCAGGAACTGATCAGAACTGGAATCACAAAGTCGGTCTCGACTTTCCTCTCTTTACAATCAATGCTGAAGCAAAAACCGAGGCTGAAGCTCATGTTCAATAGCTCAGAGTATGCAGCAGCAGCCAGCTCATTATCTTGTGGGAACAAACCGCAGACCATTGCTTCGATAGTCGAGGATGGAGATTTCTGGGGGGCGATGGAGGAAATCGTGGCGATTTCTGAGCCTTTCCTGAAAGTGATGAGGGAAGTATCAGGTGGGAAAGCTGCTGTGGGCGGTATCTATGAGATGATGACTAGGGCAAAGGAGTTCATCAGGACTTACTACATTATGGATGAGTGCAAATGCCAGACTTTCTTGGATATAGTGGATAGGAAGTGGACGGATCAGCTGCACTCCCCTCTACATTCAGCAGCTGCATTCCTGAATCCCAGTATCCAGTACAATCCAGAGATCAAGTTCCTGTCGTTGATTAAGGAAGACTTCTTCAAGGTCATGGAGAAACTGCTTCCTACTCCGGAGGTGAGACGGGATATCACCAATCAGATCTTCATTTTCACTAGAGCAAGTGGGATGTTTGGATGTAGTTTGGCAATGGAGGCCAGGGATACAGTTGCTCCAGGTAAAAAATGCACTTTAGTTGTGCTGTGTCTATTCTACATTAACCGTAAAAAAGATACAACTTTACTGATCAAACTATGCTCTGCAGGTATATGGTGGGAGCAATTCGGCGATGCTGCTCCAGTTCTGCAACGAATCGCCATCAGGATACTGAGCCAGGTCTGCAGCAGCTTCACGTTCGAGAAAAACTGGAACATGTTCCAGCAAATCCACTCCGAAAAGCGGAACAAGATCGACAAGGAGTCGTTGAACGACCTGGTCTACGTAAACTACAATCTCAGGTTGTCCAGGCAGCTGAGAACGAATGCTGCAGAAGTCGATCCGATTCAGTCTGACGACATCGACATGACTTCGGAGTGGGTGGAAGAGGGTGACAGCACCAGCCCGGCTCAGTGGTTGGACCGGTTCGGGTCAGCCCTCGACGGCGGCGATCTGAACTCCCGGCAGTTCAATGCCACGCTGCTTGGCTCCAGTGACAATTTCTTTGGTTTGTGAGAGAGCCTTGTGGCATGTGTAGTGTAACCATATACCATGTAATGTATGTAACAGTAGTGCTCTAAATTTCTTGTAAAGGTCGTTTTTAGTGATTTAGGCTAGTGTTTTGGCAAACTAGTCTTGTTCGATCGTGGAAGCTCGAGTAATAGTAAGATTATGCTGTATTGCGTCATGGATCGAATTCAATCTTGACATAATGATCATGAGTTTTCATTACAATTTAAATACCATAACAAAAACTCAAAACAAAAACGAAACGAATTACCGGTGATAACTATGAACTATAAGCAATTAGAATTCAGATGAGGTGAAAATTTCATCCATGAAGGTTAGGATATCATATTACAAAAGCACTAGAATCGAATCATTTCCAAAAGTTAATTATCATAAATCGAATTTAGCTTGAAATTAGTCTGTTAATTACTATTCAGCATTCCCAAATCACAAACAATTATAGATGTCAAAATCATAAGGAAAAATATTAGGGAAACTTCCAAGCAGAAGCAGTGGTGCGCACTGCGCAGTAAGAGACTCCAACACGAAACACGCAGAGATAAACTAAAAACGACGTCGTAGGAAGAACTCCTCTCATTTAAGCATTCTGCTGCTTCTTGTTCTTCTTCCTCTCCGAGATTTTGCGATTGCTTTGCTTTCCCGATCATTTTTATTCTTTCCCGCCGGTAGCTTCGATTCGCCGATGGAGTACGATTACAGAAACAGAGCGAACCAGCCGTACGATCCTCAAGCTCCGATGTACAGGCAATCCAGCTCATCTGCGACGCAGCCCGGTCACCCGATGTACGGACAGCCGATATACCCGCGAGTCGGGCAGCCGGGCCACGGCGGAGCTCCTCCAGGCGGCCGTCACCCCGCTTATCATCAGACGCCTGCTCCGTCGGCTTCTTCTTCTTGTAAGCCGATCGAGCTTCTCTGCGTTTTTCTTCTTCTCAATTTCGTTTGGAAAGAAGAAATTTCGGAAGAGTATAATTCCCGATTTCGACCTAATTTGTGGCACAACTTTGCTCTTGCCGTGTTTTTGTACAGCGGGGTTGGGGATCCGAGTGGCGTTGAAGCCGGAGTACCGAATCACTCCGCCGGTACGATTTGAATTGTTTGATTATATGCTTGTGACTTGCTGACTTTACGTTTTCGTATTAGACCTGCTGGTGGTGTTTGTTGTGCTCATAGGGTTCTTAATTTGTTAATGTCTTTTTGGAATTGATCGTGCCTGGCAGCCTCAATTGTCGCCTCAAATGGGAGAGATTCCGCGGAGCAATTTCCAGTTCGATTTCGAGTTTGAGAAGAAGCTGTTGGCTGAAGCGGAGAAGGGAAGCATCAATTGGAGCAGGCTAGGGTTGGAGAATGTTCCTCCTCCCAGGGCTGCAGAAGCAAATTCTTCATTGGTACGGTTTAGATGCATTTTAGTGGGTTTACACTTTTTCGTTTGTGTTGATCTTATAATAGGGTGCACTATCCTTTAGCTTTGGTGTCATTATCAGCAGAACTCGAACATTCTGTCTTGATAGGCAGTCAAAATGGGTAGAGCTTTCGTCTCGTTATCAGCAGAACTCGAACAATTGATCTTGATAGACAGTCGAAATGGGTAGCATAGATGCTCATTTCTGTATTTGTGGTTCGGTTAGTTACTCTGAAAGTGCATTTATACCTACCAGAAGAACCTCAATATCCTGGCTATGATGTTGGCATGATCAAGTAACAGTTTTTATCTGGTTTTGTTTCACAAAGCGTATCTTTTAGACGACATTTGTTCATGGGATGATGGAAGTAGCTTTCTCTGATAAGATGGGGGTATATTGCTTATGTAGGGTTCAGGAGGAGATCCCATAGTCAGCAAATACATTGCATCGAGACTTAATCCAGAAGCTGTTCCTGTTGCAGTTGCAAACTACGGGGACAACCCTACAAAGGTAGGCATTATGATCTTAACCACTTGAACCCCCTAACCTGAAGCTTGCCTCTGTTTGTACCATGAATACCATCCATCTCTTCTTCGATTAACATACACATGATTGCTGGCCAGCTTGCATTTCACTGTCTTTCCTGACAACTTTCAAGCTCTAATGCTGAACTTCTTCTTTTCTAATCTTCTTCCATTTGGTTCAGGTTCGGGAATTCTCCAACGCTTACACTCAGCTACGGGAAATGGGATTCTCGTCGAACAACGTGGCTGAAGCACTGCTCATGTATGACAACGATACAGAAAAGGCATTGGCTCATTTCCTCAACAGTCCTACATAAACCTCCCCTGCTACAGCCTCGCTGAATTGAACTTCACTCAGTGTCAATTTGGTTGTAATGTCTATTTCGTTTGCTTCGGTTTTCAGAACTTTGTGAGAATTATGCCCAACCAGCTTTGTGTAATCTTCTTGTTCCGATGTAACAAATGCTTTATACGTTGTAGATATGCAAAAGATCTAGCTGTTTCTTTGCTCAAAACTTACCATTGAACTGTTAACACAGCTTCGAAGAGCTCATATGTTTATCGATAAATGGAACAATACTAAGTTAGACAGGGCTCGTGAGAGGTGACCTTATGTCTCACTGGAAGCTAGGATACTTGCCGAAGTAAGAGCCGTTTAATTGAAGGATTTAGGAATTCCCTTTCACACTCCAAAATAGGTTGGGAAAAGATATTGAAACAGGAGAGGAAGTTCCCCCATCTCTTCTTTCCTCCTTTGAACAGGCCATATAGGAGACCTGCATATTTGGATTCTGCCTATTTTGATAGCAGCTTGTGCTCAAGCTCAATCATGGCCTCACTTTTGTTACCCATGAAGCAAAATCTCAGCATTGTTATACAACAATTGACCACATCTGCACTTCATTTCTTCTCTTCTCCAGCAATACACTTCCAAAATCGAAAAGCAAGTCTCTCCCTACAATGAAATGCTACCTGTACTCTCACTCTCAGGGCTATACAATTGACCACATTTACAGTTCATCCTTTCTCTTCTCCAGCAATACACTTCCAAAATTCGAAAAAGAAGTCGCTTCCTACTCTGAAATGCTACATGTACTCTCAGGGCAATACTTCCAAGCAAATGAACATCAACTACAACAATCAAACTGAGTCTGAAATGCTCAAGACAGAGTTCAGAAATTGAGCAGCAGCTGAGTAATCTGAGGACTGTAACGTTGACATCGCATCAGTACTCTGGCTTGATCATCAGGAGGCTTTTTCGAGGATCTGAACCGTCAACCTTCCCCATCAACACCGTGCGCTCCGCATTCAACTGGTCAATCTCGTCCAGCATCTGAGGCTTGCAGTGGAGCGCATTCTTGTCACGACTCTTTCTATCGATCTCCTCGATTCGCTCGTTGATCTGGGCAACTCGAGCTACAATACCTGCTGAATCGATTCCCTTTGGTACATTCAGTTCAGCCCTCAACGTGTAATCTTCCAGTTTCAATGACCTCCGCTTGTCGAACAGAGCACCCATCTTGTCAACCATCGAATCGGCCAGACGCCCTCGAGTCGCTGCGATGGTCGAAGCAATCTTCTGGATTTCCTTGCGAATTTCCTGGAGCTCAAACACAACAGTACCAAAACGATCAAGCTTCTCCTGACGAGAAGGCGACATGGGTTCTTCTTCTTCTTCTTCTTCTTCGGCCGCTGGATTTTGCAGATAATGAAGATCCGATTTGTACAGAGACAACATTTCCTCCAATAGCGCCCTTTCCCCAATAAGAGAATCCAGCATATCTCTGTCTGATTTCACAATCAGTCCTTGGCCATTGACCTTCTGTTCAAGCTCCCCTATATGCTTATTGAAACAGAGCAATTCCTCTTCAGCCATTCCAATTCGAGTAAGCAACTTTTGAAGATTAAGTGGAGAAGATTCGGAGACTTCAACCAGCTCACCCACAATTCTTCCGTCCTCCTCGCTCAAGTTCTTGCGCTCTTCACATTCAAGCACGATTTGGCGATCAATATCTTTGATATGCCGGTTGAGATATATCCAATCCATCAACGCATCATCATCAATCGTCGGAACTTCCCTTAATTCCTTAACCCATTCGAGATATTCTTGTTTATATCCTTTCTTTACAAGCTCGCTGTAAACTGCGCCTGATCTTTTAGCCAATGGCTCACGTTCTTGAAAGTAACCAGCAAGCTCCGCGTCAGTTGTCTGAATCATTTCTTCAATGCGTTTCTGACGGTCTACCCTCCTCTCCACGTTCAATCCCTCTGCGGAAATTTCACAACCGAACTGAGAAATACGGAAGAGAGCGACGGAATTGCAAGAACAGAGGGAGTTGCGGAAATTTCACAACCGAACTGAGAAATAAGGAAGAGAGCGACTGAATTGCAAGAACAGAGGGAGTTGCAACAAGAACTAGCCTACAGCAGGAGAGCAAGAAAAGAAAAACAGTAACATACTGACGAAGCAAGTAGAAGAAACAAATCGAACTAACCTTCAAACCACCCGTATTTCTTTGCATCGTCCTCGAGGGAATTCGCCGCCATAGCTGAGGATTGAGAGAGGAAAAAACAGAGCGTGATAGAGAAGTGAGAATTCGAGCGAGACAGTGAAAGAGCGGGAAAGCGAGAAAAGGGGAGCTTCTGTTATTTCAGGTAACTTGCTGAGCAAGGTGAGAATTTGGAGGCCCAAAAGATTTTAATATTGGGCTAACTTTGGTGGGTTCTTGTGGTCAGGCTTATAACTAATTTTCTATGGGCCGAATGCTGAGTAAATTTCGAACGGCCCATTTTCTTTCTTCCTGATGTGAGTGAGTTCCCATCAGGCCCAAGCCCAACCATATACACATTTGCGTAGAAAGGTACTATTCCGAATCTATTTAATTATTATTTTGGGATTCCTTTTACACCCCGGAAGTGGGAAAATTGGAATAAAAAAAGAGGGGTTAGGGATTTCTCTACATATTCGATTTTAGCGCCAAGCTTTTCCATTACCTTTGTAAACCTTCCTCTCCCTTCCTTCAATTCATCTGTTTTGCCTCTCGCCATGGCGCTACTCAGAAAACGACTTCGGAGCTGTTCAGAAGTCAACCCTTCCAATTCCATGATCAGCTCACTCGGGGACGATCTCCTCACAGAGATTCTGATTCGCCTCCCGAACTACAGATTCGCCTTCTGGTGCAAACCCGTCTGCAAGCGCTGGAGGTCCCTGATCTCAAGTCCCAGCTTCAGCTGCCGCTTCATTTCTCACCACCGGAGCATGGACAGACTGCCGGCTCTGCTTCTTCACACGGACGACGCCAGCGACCCGCAATCGGCAATCATGAGGTTCATCCCGTCCATGCCTTTTAGGGTTCGGGCCTGTTTCAAAATTTTGGATTGCTTCAAGGATTTGCTCTTGTGCGGGTTCATGGATGTGAAATATAGGAGGGATAGGAAGGATCCAGATGAGATTAAGAACTACCACAAACTCGGCAGGACGTACTTGGTCTGCAATCCGTTTACCAAGCAGTGGATGGCCCTTCCTTTAGCGCCTGAGAAGCCGATGGGCTATGAAGCGCCGGTTACAAGGTTAGTTTGTGAACCCCTTAGTAGTAATAGTAATGGCGTCGACCAAGGTTTCGCCTTCTCTTCCGAGTGCCGGTTTCGGGTGGTGTGTATATACCAACATCAGGATTGCATTAAACTAGATGTGTATTGTTCCGAGTCTGGAAAATGGACCAAGGAGCCTCTTGTTTTTCGTGGTTATCGCAAGCTCCGTCACAAAAATGTATGTTCGTGCAATGGGGAGTTGTTTTGGTTGTATGGTAGAGCCCACGGGGAGGAGGAGGGGGAAATAGATAAAGATCAGGATGCTGAGTTGAATCCAATGCTTGCTGTGTTGAACATTTTCCGCCTCGATGTACCTGCCACTTGTATTGATACTTCTGATTTCGCTGAGAATCCACGGTGGGATATCTCGGTCTCGGAAGATGCTTTGCACGTAATCGAATTGGACGAGGGAAGTAGTCTATCTTGTTTAAGTGTTTGGAAACTGGGGAAGGACCGACTATCTTGGAGGAAACAATGTGAAAGGTTGTTGCTGGATATATCATGGTGTGAATATAACCCTGCATACTGTAAAATCCTTGATCTGCATCCAGAGAGGCCGCATATTGTCTATTTCCGGTATATCCCTGCTTCTGGCCCTGACGGTATATTGTGCTGCGACTTGAGTAGGGGGAAGCTAGAGTTCTTCACTGAGCTAAGACAACTTGTACCTCGTTGGTCATTTTTCAAGCCTAGGGTCTCTTGCTGGCCTACTCCGATTCCAAGGTATGAGGAATTGCGAGGAATGTATGATGGAAGCTGCCGCTGGTTCAGAGCAGCAAACAGCAACCCGCTCAGTACTGATTTAGAGCAGCAAGCAATAAATGGTATGTTTTTTTACCTTCAGCCTCTCTTTTATTGCTCTGTTTGATTAATGAGAAATCTTATTTGGTGTATTTGCTTGCCTTCACTACTTAGTATTTCGTACAGCGTTTTAAGAACTGAGATTGCAGACCTTCTCTTGGCTGCCTCTTATTACTCTTACCTTGAACCCATTATTTGAAATCACCCATGTTTTGGTTCGGTTTCAACAGAGGATAGTGGTTTGACATAATCACCTGTTTCTGTTGGCCTGGACTCTTGTGGTTCGAGTTCGACTATCGAATGAGACTTCGTTTTTAACAAACCTTCTTTACGCTCCAGGGGGTATCTCTTGGCACCATGTATATGTTATTGAAATGAAGCATATCAAGTTCTTTGTGCTGCTACTACTTTTGGAAGCTCCTGTCTCAATTTGTGTGTCCTTTTGAAACTAATCTATCTTAATTTGGTCACGTCTTTTTCCAGCACTCGCTACTGTTGACGTTCTTCGTGCTGCGACGGAAACCCTGAAGAATGATTTGATGGATAAATTGTTGGCGCTCCCACGCCCCGGAGAGAAGCTACATGAATTGCATGACTGGTTACGCATACTCAGGAATGAGCTGTGCGAGTTGGATTCTCAGAGAGAAGCGATTCTTTCCCTCTAAAGATGAGCAGAGGAGCATTACTGTAATGCATCTGCAATTGAGTATATATGCATGAAAAAAGAAGGGGCATTGAAAGTTGCTCATTCACTAGTCGAGGAAAGGCTGGCTTGGCTTGTACATCTTGAACACCTTGTCCAGTTCGTCTTTCACTGACGTCGCAGCTCAGCCTTCGACGTTTTATGCCATCATGTACAGTCACTCCAAGTTATGCTACCCAAATGAGATTTGAGGATATTAACGTTATCAAACATGAGTTTTCGATGGATTGATTAAGTCGATTCCAGTTACTTGTGTATGATGTTATCAGTGCTGCCGGTTATGACCATGCACACCAATTCAAGCTGTTGCTGCACGCCATTTTTTTCTCCTTCAAACCTTCAGAAAATGGCCATCAATTTGGGTTTAGATTAATATAGCAGAGCACTCCTAAGCTGGCTATTTGGTCCGGGTTTTTTGGTTTTACCCGAAACCGGACCGTATAATCCGGACCGGGATCGGATCGGGACCGGATAGTAAACAATCCAATCCAATCTTTGGGCTTAGATTTGAGGTAAAAAAACCGTTCGGGACCGGATTGAAAACTAGATAAAGACCGGATAAGAGAGCTCAACACCCAAAACTTAAGGGTAATTTGCATAAACGGTCACAAACCTTTGCACTTAGTACAAAACTTAACCAACTCCTCACCCTTTCAGGCCTTAGGCCGCGCAAATCCCCACAAGCTCAATATAAAATCAAGACCAAATTGGGACCGGACCGGGTCAAGACCGGACTGTATCCAATCCAACCTTTGGTCCTTATATTTTCAAAAAAACCGAACTGGACCGAATCAATTTGGATCAATTTAACCGGACCGGACCGTATAGCCACCCCTACTCCAAGGAAAAGCTTGCCCGCAGGGTGAATGGAAAGTGATACGATAAGTAAATTCCAGAGTCATGACTCATGACAAGTTATGCCGAACTTGGGCCGTCAAAGGCTACATCTTGGGCCGATGAAAACTAAATCATGGGCCGTTACTGGCCCAACCCCAACTATGCTCATGCTTGCTTGCTGCTGAGGTTCTATTCCTAAAATCAGACTAGGAGTTGGATTCCTTTTACCCGCCCAAAAGGAGAGGAAATTAGGGATTTCTATCTCCTCGCTCTCTGTCTCCTCCACCACCGCCATGGCGCTCCTCCGTAGAAAACAACTCAGAAGCTGTTCCGTGATCGCCACGCTCGGAGACGATCTCCTCGGAGAAATTCTGATCCGCCTCCCGAACACTAAATCAGCCTTCCGGTGCAAACCCGTCTGCCGGCGTTGGAAGTCCCTGATCTCCAGTCCCAGCTTCAGTCGCCGTTTCGTTTCGCGCCACCGGAGCACCGACGAGCCGCGGACTCTGCATCTCCACACGGACGACGCCAGCGGCCCTAAATCGGTAATCATGGGCTTCGTCCCTTCCATGCCTCACAGAGTTCGAGACTGTTTCAAAGTTTTGGATTGCTTCAAGGACCTGGTTCTATGCGGGTATATGGATCTAGATAAAACCTACACCCGGGTTAGGGATCCAGATAAGAACTATAACAAGCTTGGCAGAACGTACGTGGTCTGCAATCCGTTCACGAAGCTGTGGATGGCCCTTCCTTTAGCGCCCGAAAAGGCTGTGGGTTATGAAGCACCAGTTACCAGGTTAGTTTGTGAACCCCGTAGTAGTAGTAGTAGTAGTAATTCTAATTCTGGGAATCTTGATCTCGATGATGACCAAGTTTGGCGTTTTACTTCTGATTATCGGTTCCGGGTGGTATGTATATATCAGCATCAGGCGTGTATTAAACTAGACGTGTTCTGTTCCGAGTCTGGAAAATGGACCAGCGAGGCTCTTGTCTTTCCTGGTTATCGCAAACTCGGTCGCAAAAATGTGTGTTCGTGCAATGGGGAGTTGTTTTGGTTGTATGGTGTAGCCCAAGAGGTGGAGGGAACCCTAGATAGAGATCAGGATGCTAGGGTGAATCCTATGCTTGCTGCGTTGAATCCTTTCCGCCTTGATATGCCTCCCACCTGTATCGATGCTTCTGAATTCGCTGAGAATTCGCAGTGGGATATTTCGGTCTCGCAGGGTGCTTTGCACGTGATTGAACTGCAAGAGGTAACTAAACCTGCTCTTTTAAGGGTTTGGAGACTGGAAAAGGATAGGCTGTCTTGGGGGAAACAATGTCTAGAGTTATCGGAGAAGACATCAAGGTGTAACCATGACATTCAATCATGGAGGAAACAGTGTGAATGGTTGTTGGAGGAGAGATCGTGGTATGTATATAAACTCGAGCACTGTAAAATCCTTGATCTGCATCCGGAGAAGCCAGAAATTGCCTTCGTCCGGTACTTTGCTCCTTCTGGCGATGACGATGACATACTGTGTTGGGACTTGAGGAGGGGAAAGCTAGATTTCTTCACTGATCTAAGACAACTTGTACCTCGTTGGAAGCTGTTCACGCCTAGGGTCTCTTGCTGGCCTACTCCAATTCCAAGGTACGAGGAATTGCGAGGTATGTATGATGGAAGCTGCAGCTGGTTCAAGGCAGCAAAGAAAAACTTCCTCGGCAGTGGTTCAAAGCAGCAAGTAACAGCTCCCTCAACAACTGGTATATATTTACTTTGTGCCTTTCCATGTTATTATTGCTCTGTTTCTAAAGGAAGCATATCAAGTTTTTGTGTACTGCTGTTAATATTGATAAACTAATCTTGATCTGGTCACATCTTTTTGCAAGACGTTGCTGCTATCGACATTCTTCGTGCTGCCACGGAAACTCTGAAGAATGATTTCACGGACAAAATGTTTTCGGTCCCAGTCTCCGGAGGGAAGAGACATGGATATAACGCAGAGGTACTGAAGCTCGATGAAGAGCTGGTCGAGTTAAGATCTCAAAGAGAAAAAATTCTTTCTCGTTAAGTTGAGCCAAGGATCCTGCCGGTGAATATCTAACCTTCCATGATTCAGCTGCTGACGACCACTGTAGTAGGCTGATCCTTCTTGGGCTCGGCTTGTTCCTCAACTCGGCCCATTACGACAGCCTTTGGGCCTGGTCTCTACCTAACAAATTCTCTTGATGATGAAATTGGTGACGGCTTGACTCAAAAATTAAAATCCATGATTAGGTACACAAAGTATGACTTAGGTCTTAGGTAATCGTGAGAGTGGGAGCCAGAGCGATTACAAAAACGCGAGAGCGTTAAATTTTGAAATAATTTAATAATGAAAACGTGATAGATCAATTTTGTTGCTATTATTGTTATGAAGATACTTAAAATGTAGAGTATACTTGTCATATAATTATTTCTTTTTGTTTAGACTTATTATAATTTGCACAGAGATTTGGTTGCCCACATGTGATAGGTTAAATTATTAATTCGATTCCGATACTTTCAGCCGCGAGTTACGTTATTCCAACAATCAATTATCAAATAACCAGCTAATTAATTCAACTCTCCACTTCAAGCCGAAAGCTCTCATCAACTGACTCACTCAACACAAGACATTACCAGCTCGCGAATGCAAAACTTAAACGACTCGAACCGAACCCTGTCATTCATACCACACATTTTTTTTTTCCTTCTTCTTTTGATAAGACCGCGTCAGGATCAAGTCATTACAGAAGTCTTACTGTACCTCATCTCTAAAGTCGTAAACCTCAAACCTCATTCTACAGCCTTCGCCCGAAGCGTGACCTCCCATGCGGCCGCCGCAGTACGGCCGGTTCAGGAGGATATCCTTCGCCGCTCCGATGCACGCACCGGAGCCCGGCTCCGAGTATACGTAGCCGTAGATAACGCTCCGGCCGTGATCGCAGGAGGCATAAGTGTCGTAGAATTTATAAGTGTACGGCGGATTCTGATCCGTGAGCAATTCATTGAGCAGGGGATTTACACAAGCACGCCGCTTATCGCCGGCGTCGAACTTCGCGGCGTTGCACTCAAATTCCAGTACCACCTCCGACGTCGTCGTACGAATTACGAGCGACGCGACGAGTAGCAAAACGGCGGGCACCGTCAGTACCTTATTGTTATGTTTCTTCCCCAATAATGATGAACTCATTTTCGCATGCTAATTAAGAGAGAGTAATTAACTAACTACTGAATGCCGTTTTATCGATCGGTTACATATATTTATATATAGTTGGGCCGATTCGGCAGAACATTCCCGATCCATGCATAAACCGCCACGGTAGCTGCGTTGTTGTATGGTCGGCTATAAGTACAATGTTTGTGTTTTGGCTGCTCTTCTTGATATATATTTTGGATTCTTTCTACGTACGCTAAAAAAAAAAAAAAATTTAAGTATACATACTCTGGCACACTCGGGTGTATCGCCAAAAGTAGAAAGTAGAATACTTACACTATTAGCCGGTAACTATTTTCGATTAGTACAAGCTACGACAAAAGTACACGAAGTGTTTTTCATATCCCGAAAATAATTGTGAAAACGTACATTTACGTGCCGTGTATAGTATTCAACAAATCTCTTTTAATAGATTCTATTAGACAAAGATTCGTGAACTTAATTATTGCCTATTCGTGAACTTAATTGATTCTGAAACCTGCTTTTGATGCAACACCAGAGCAGAAAAAGTCGTTGTCAATACTTGTAATTGCAGCCGGTAAAAATCAATGTAGCTCTATCAGAAGCATATGTAACTACCTATGCGCATATGATAGATTCGATTTTGTCTCCACCATCAACTAGCGGAGGAGGAGGGTCGAAGCTGCTTGGAACCTGAAGGCGAATTTGTTCGTGTTTTCAAATGCATTATTGTATAAAAAGAAGACAAGTATTTGGAGTGCGGATCATTCAAATGACTCGCAAGTACTTATTCATCTAAATAAGTGTGAGGAGGAGATTAATCAATTCATAATTCACCCACATTAATCATCCAACTACAACAATTCGAGTAATTTAGGGACGGGGTCAAAGTCATTAAGTCAAACCGTGATTTAACCATCTACTTAATTAACCATCAAAGAAAACAAATGAGTTATATTATTATACATATTGGGACAGCTGACAGTTAGTAGATATCAACTTGTCTTATTTTCATTGTACTTACTTAATTCGGCAAATATCCTGATCCAGGGATTAATCGCCACAGATGAGTTGTAATTGAAATACAGAAACCAGAAACATGCAGGCATATATATTATTATTATTATTATTTATTATTTATTAGTATATAAAATGGGCAAGAACTAAGAAAGCATGTTAGTAGATATCAAATTTGTCTTATTTTCATTTGTACTTTACTTAATTCGGCAAATATTCCTCATCCATGGATTAATCGCCACAGTTACATTTTCCCATGTGAGCACGGATAGTGACCATGACAACTAAGGGTAAATCGAGCATTAAAATTAAATATTTATCAACTAAAGGAAAATTAGGTACGAACCAATACTACTCTAAAAATTAAAACAACAGTTCAATATCAAATTACGAAAAATACGAAAACTTCAAAAACACCAATTCAATGTAAAAAATACTAGTCGAGACGGACACATATACCAATCCATCGCGAACCAATACCAATTCACACCGATGGATATCAATGATCAATCCAACGCAAAAAAAAAAAAAAAAAGTTCCGATGGACGCATAGAAGTCTAATGACTAAGACAATACACAAACTTTAAGGAGGGATAATAATTCATTCTATATAAATTAAAGAAACATATCACATAAGTATTTCATGATATAAGTTTGAATGCAAATTCCTAAATTATGAACTAAATTGTTGATAATCTCATCAATTTGCATTACAGAAAGACTTTGTAAGATTGATGGTATTTTACACAACAGTTCAATAAAATATTGTACTTTTATCATTACTAGATTCTCTTATTATAAACTAAAATGCATTTATTATTACCTACTGTATTCAACATCTTATCAATTTGCATTATCATAAATTAAAGCTTTTTGTAAGATAAGTCAATCTTACATATTATTTTAATCAAACCGAGATCCGTAATCAATGTGCTTACCACGTTTTACTATTTCACATTTAATAAATACGAACGCGCAAACGAATATTATACACCAGACGGGCTTGCGCTTGCCTTTTTTCTATGTACATAATACGGTTCGAGTAACAACTAACAACAACACCAATGTGATATTCAAGGAAATAGTTCCTAACTAATATTGTTAAATACTCTACTCTCTATTTTGGGCGATACACCCGAGTATACACTTAACTGTTTTTTTTCTTTTTTAGTGTACTTAGAGTCCAATCAATCTTCTAGACCAACATACAACAACGCAAGTAGCGTGTCATTTCCTCCCTTGGACCACGAATGTTCCGCCGAACCGGCCCAAACTATAAATACGAAACCGATGATTAAATTTACATGCAATATTAGGTAATATTACTTTTCATATACAAAATGAGTCCATTCTCATCCTCATCATCATCCTCATGTTTTGCCCTAGTACTATTGCTAGTCGTCGTCACAATCCGTACGGCGACGGCGCAGGACGAGCTACCACTCCACGTATGCAACAAAGAAACGTTCCCACTCGGTGATCCGAAGCGTGAGTGCGTCTACCACCTGCTCGACGATTTGCTCGGCTGGGGGAGCGAGCCGGAGGACGGCAAATGGTACGACAGCTGGAACAACTGCGAGGAAGGCCGGAGCACCATCTACGGGTACCGGTATTCGGACCGGAGCGTCGGCCGTTGCATCGGGACGGCGAAGGACATCCTCCAGAACCGGCAGTGCCGCGGCCGTTTAGGAGGTCGCGCCTGGCGGCCTGGGGCAAAGGGTGTTACATGAGGTTTGAGATTTACCCTTTTGATGTAGACGACGAATAAACGATGAAACAACAAAAGGAAAATAATAATAATAATAATAATATTATGTCGTGTGAGACAGAGAGATTGGTTTGGTTCCTTGGAAGTTGTGAATTGGTTGGCATTGGAGAGTCGTCGTGTATCGATGCGCGCGTTGAGTGAGTGGGTTGAGAATTTTGAGTTGAGTTATGTAATAATGATTGATGGAAACCAGAGATATGAATTGTACTTGAGAATCACTGATCTCTTACGTGTTTAACCGATTTGAGATTTGCCTATTGTGTACGTTACATGCACATTGATCGCATGATTTATCATTGTATCCATTTCAATAAAGTTTCGTCAGTTCTTCACATAGTTCATTACAAAAAAAAAAAAAAAAAAAACTATTTCAACACTTGCAGTGGTGACAGGTAGCAACAATGTCAATGTTAGAAGTTGATACACTAATGCAAACATTCAAAATCGTTTTTTTTTAACACAACCAATTCCATAAATTAAAGGTCAGCAATTTCCTTTAATCTTGAAATTTAAATCTCGCAACTATTTTCATTTCAAATATACAAGCATCTAGTTGATGGAGGTCAAGATGTAAGACTTAAAAGGATTACATAACATATTAGAGCTCATGCATCCTCATATCACAATATTAGCTTTAGCTTATTGATGGAAATGCTACCCTATAACAGGGAGGTCTTCGTATCGATCTTGGGGTCCTTGTCCGCCACTACCTCATGCATAAGCACCTTCACAAGGTTATGCAACTATTTCTGTGCATTTGGGAAGTCCTTCTCTCGAAGAGTCCTTTAAGTGTTTGGCGGATCAATATAATCGTTGAGAAGAGGACATAAAGTTCGTGATCCTTGTCTTAAGGTAAGGATTATTAGGATATAATTCAAGATTTGGCGGATCAATATAATCGTTGAGAAGAGGACATAAAGTTCGTGATCCTTGTCTTAAGGTAAGGATTATTAGGATATAATTCAAGATTATTAGGATATAATTCAAGTTCCGATGATATAAGATGTTTGGCGGATCAATATAATTGTTGAAAAGAGGGCAAGAAGTTTGTGATCCTTGTCTTGAGGACAGGATTATTAGGATATAATCCAAGTACCACATCGGAAGTACAAGGGAAGGAACCCTTGTATATAAGTGTCCACCAAACTCATTAGTACGAGACTTTTTGGTGAGGATACAAAAAGGTAAAATCGTGCGGGCTTGACCCAAAGCGGACAATATCATTCTAATTAGGGCTGAGAATCTAGACCAAATCGTATGACAAACTGCGGTCTAGACCGTATCGTATGGTTTCGTCCCGTGAGACCAAAACTATGGTCTGGTCTGGTCTACGGTCTCCTCCTTTAGTATGTGGTCTGGACCGCGGTCTACCGCAGTACACCGTAACAGACCATGACACATTACCTACTAACTCATACCAAAATAACACTAAAAATAAATTAAAACATTTTTGAATTTGAAGAACA